GCAATTCTCCTGCCTCAGCCTCCTGAGTAGCTGGGATTACAGGCATGCACCACCATGCCCAGCTAATTTTTTGTATTTTTAGTAGAGACGGGGTTTCACCATGTTGACCAGGTTGGTCTCGATCTCTTGACCTCGTGATCCACCCGCCTTGGCCTCCCAAAGTGCTGGGATTACAGGCTTGAGCCACCACGCCCGGCCTGTTTTTTATTTTTTTAAAGACTGAGTCTCACTCTGTCACCCAGGCTGGAGTGCAGTGGTGCCATCATAGCTCACTGCAACCTTGAACTCCTGGGCTCAAGCCATCCTTCCACTTCAGCCTCCCAGGTAGCCAGGACTACAGGTGTGTACTATCATGCCAAGCTAACTTAAATTTTTTTTTTTTTGTAGAGATGGGGTTTCACTATGTTGCCTAGGCTGGCTTCCAACTTTTTGCCTTAAGAAATCCTCCTGCCTCGGCCTCCGAGATTGCTGGGATTATAGGCATGAGCCACCATGCCCAGCTCTTCTCCTATTTTAAAATAATGTTAGTGAAGAATGAAGTTTGTTTGTTTGTTTGTTTTTTGCTTTGGAGTCTTGCTCTTATCACCCAGGCTGGAGTGCAGTGGCATAATCTTGGCTCACTGCAACCTCTGCCTCCCGGGTATAAGTGATTCTCCTGCCTCAGCCTCTTCAGAGCTGGGATTATAGGCATCTGCCACCACGCCCGTCTGATTTTTTTGTATATTTTTAGTAGAGATAGGGTTTCACCATCTTGGTCAGGGTGGTCTTGAACTCCTGACCTTGTGATCTGCCCGGCTCGGCCTCCTAGGGTGCTGGAATTACAGGTGTGATCTACTGCTCCCAGCTAGAATAAAGTTTTTTACAGTAAAACCAGGAATGTATAACTTTTTAAACATTCATTTATCAACTTTATCTTTGTTTTTCATTTTTGTTCAAAAATCTTAATTGGAATTTCAAATATGGGGAGGTATTATGTTTTCAGTTTGTTGAAACTGTTCTTGCTCATCTTTGACACTTTGCCTTTGGGGTTT